ATGTCATTAATAGTTTTTACAATACTAGAGGCCCAATGCAGGAAATTCGTGCAAAAGTGGGCCTTCCTTCCCCCAGATGCTGGCACCGGCTTCCCTCTGGCACCTGAGACCCAGGCTTTGCTCTGGCCACTGGCAGGCACCCAGACCCCAGGCTTCCCTCACAGCCCCAGCTTTGTCTGGAAAGATGTCCGGACTAATTAGCATATTACACTTTTATTATTATAGGTTATTGACTATACTAGAGGCCCAGTGCATGAAATTGTGCTCAGTAGGGTTTCTAGGCCTAGACTGTGATCAGGGCCATCTTCCCCTGCTCGCCAGTCCCCAGTCCAGCTCCACTGCCACCACTCACCCCTGTTCTTCATTCGCAATCCAGTGATTAAAAGAACAACCCACTCTGCCTTAGGTGCCTTGTACCATCATAGGGCACCTGGCCCTTTGCTCCCTTTAAGGAAGTAATATAAATGCCCTCTTTCTGCACCTGTCTTTTCTCTCCCTTGTGAATCATTTTACAGCTGGCATCACTGGCCAAAACCCTAACAATGATGTGGGAAACTCAACCAGGAAGGGCTATGCCTGTGGGAGGAGGTGCAGGGAACCAAGGCTGCCCCCTTACTCCTTCCCCACCTTTGCTCCCTCCATCCCTGCACTGGCCCAGACACCTGGCTCAACCCCACCTCCATCACAGAACCACTCAGCTCAGGCTCTGGCCCCACCTATCCCACAGGGAGGAGCATGCAGTTTCTTGCAGACTCTGAAGCAGCTGTGAAGTAGGGAAGTGGTGGATTGATTCTTCCTGAGGAGGGTGTTTGTTCTTTACAGCTGATGTTCTCTGTCCACCTACCAGCAGTGAAGGCTGAGGGTCGCTGCAGGTGCTAAAGTCATCAAAGTCCCCACTCCAGAGCCTCTTAGAACAGTAAGTCCACATCCTGAGAGGCTGAGCAGTGGAGGTGCCACGTTCCTTTCCTTTCGGAAGAAACTGAGGATTGATTGGAGGCTGTGGGCCAGGGGGAGGGACCAAGAGGTCTGCCTTCGCCTGCTCACCAGTCCCCAATCCCACCCCGCTGCCACCCAGCCCAGTTCGTCGTGGTTCCCTGTTGGCCATCCAGTGATCAGAGCCTGCGGGCTGGGGGAGGGATCGAAAGGTGGTCAATGCATCTCAGAGCGACTGGTCAATTGGTCGTTCTGGTCATTACACCATTAACGTGGTTAGCCTTTTATTATATAGGATTCCCTATAGGGATACTTTACATCCCTGTGGCTAATTTTAAAACTTTTTCCTCTCATTGTTCCTAGCTCAGTGAATGGGTCATTGTTTAAATCATAATTATAACAAGAGAAAGAACTTCCAATTAGTAATAATAGCATTGAGCACTTTCTTTTTTTATTCTAAGCAATTTAACCACATTGCATTTGACCCTCATGATAATATTCTTGTGAGCTAAGAGAAAATATACTAAATAGCTCTCTGCCTGGTTCCTGACACAGAGCTCCCAAACCCTTGTAAATTCCTAAGTAAGATTACAAGCATCTTTGTTCTAATGAATTTGTTTTCTGCAAATAATACAATCAAGTAAGTGAAAAAACTCACAAAGTGGGAGAAATATTTGCAAACCATATATCCAGTAAGGTACTTGAACCTAGAATACATAAATAACTTCTATAACTCAATAACAAAACAACAAATAACAAAATTTAAAATAAACAAAGAATTTAGACATTGATCCAAAAAACATGCAAATGACCAAGAAGCAATGAAAAGATGCTCAAAATCATTAGTTATAAGAAAAATGGAAATCAAAACCACAGTAAGCTAATACTTCACAACTTTTTGGATGCCCATCATCAAAATAACAGAAGATGACAAATGTATTTCAAGAGGTGGAGAAATTTGAACCCTCATTTATTACTGATAGTAATGTAAAATGGTGCAGCCACTTTGGAAAACAGGAGGGCAGCTCATCAAATTGTAAAACAAAATTAATTTTAAACTTTAACAGAGAATAGAAGGCATTTATTTGAGCAAAAAGGAGCTGCAGCCCAGCAGACACATTTAGGTAACAATCTAAATTTCATTGGAATACTATGCTGCCATAAAAAAGAAGGAATTCTTATCATTTGCAGTGACCTGGATGGAATTGGAGAACATTATACTGAGTGAAATAAGCCAGTCAATGAAAGAAAAACACCACATGATCTCACTCATTTATGGATAATAAGGAACATTATAAACTGATGAACCAAAAGATAGATATAGAGACAGTAAAGCAACAAGCAGACTGTCAAATTACAGCGGGGAGGGGAGGGAGATATGGGGGAGATAAGAGATCAACCGAAGGACTTGTATGCATGCTTATAAGAATAACCTATGGACGAAAAACTCTGGGAAGGGAGGGCAGGTATGGGAGTGGGGGTGGGGTGGGGATTGGTAAGGTATGCACACATATAATACCTTAATTAAAAAAATGAGGGGGAAAAAAGAAAATAGAAAAAAATAAATAAAAACCTAAAAAAAAAAAAAAAGATGAAGGAGAAGCATCTTTGGCAATAGTCCCCCCCCACTTCACACCCCACCCCCAGTTCTTAATGAGGTCCATTGTATGTAAATGAGGTATCCAAATTGTGCAGTCTGATTGGGTCAATCTGTCTGTTGTTGGATAGATGAAGCCAGAGTTTCCTTCCCTGCAGTGGTTGACTCAGATGGTGTAAACAAGTGGGACACAGTCCCGAATCCCAGAGTTCAGTCAGAGGTTCTTCCTAGCTGTTCAGAGTATGTAACAAGCCCCAACCAGCAAATGGCCACTAGGCTCTTAGTTGCAAAATTTTGGCCCTCAGTTGACCAGAGGCAGTCCTTCTCAGCAGGTAAATTTCTTCTTGGATTCACACCAAATGAATCTTTCTTCTCAGCATCCATATGTTAAACACAGAGTTATCATATTATATGATTTACAGCTGTACTCTCAGGTGTGTATGTAAGTCAAATAAAAACATTCCAACACAAAAATTTGTTCACAGTGGTATTAATCATCAAAAAGAGGAAAAATCCTAAATTTCCAATAATTGATGAATGGATACATATGGTATATCTACGCAAAAGAATACCATTTGACAATAAAAAGGAATGAAGCACTGATCTGTGCTGTAAAATTGATGAACCTTGAAAATATTATGCCAAGTAAAAGAAGCCAGTCACAGAAGACCACATATTGTATACCTGAGGCCCAGCACACAAAATCATGTGAGACTTAGACCTGCCACTCCAGCGGACCCCTAAACCTACCCTGCACAAGCCGCAGGCCCCACCTCCACCACGCCAGCTCCGCTGAAGGAACTGAGAGTTCTGGCCCCTGAGAGGTGCTCCATGCACCTCTTAGTGACCTGTTGTTTGGTCATTCTGCCCTTACAATGTCATGACCACAGGCCTTTTATGATATAGATTTCCATTTATATGAAAAGTCCAGAATAGGCAATTCTACAGAAATACAAAATAAATCCACTAATCAGTGGTTGCTTATGACTGAGGTCGGTGGGAGTGGAATAGTTTGGGGAGAAATAAAGAATGACTGATAATGGGTATGGAGTTTCTTTTTTGTTTTGTTTTGTTAATCCTCATCCAAGGATATTTTTCCATTGATTTTTAGAGAGAGTAGAAGAGAGAGGGCCTGAGCCAGAGAGGAGCCTGCAACCAACATATGTGCCCTTGAGTGGAATTCAACCCAGGATCCTTTGGTCCTTAGGCCGATGCTCTCTCCACTGAGCCAAACAGGCTAGGGTATGGGGTTCTTTATAGTGTGATGAAAATGTTCTAGAACGAATATTATAAAAAACACTGAATTGTAAACTTTTAAATGGGTGCATTTTATTGCATGTCATATATATCTCAATAAAAATGTTAAGAGAGCTGAAACCGGTTTGGCTTAGTGGATAGAGCATCATTCTGTGCACTGAAAGGTCCCAGGTTCAATTTCACTCAAGGGCATGTATATTGGTTGTGGCCACATCCCTGGTGGGGGGTGTGCAGGAGGCAGCTGGTCAATGTTTCTCTTTCATTGATGTTTCTAGCTTTCTATCCCTCTCCCTTCATCTCTGTAAAAAATCAATAAAATATATTTTAAAAAAATGTTAAGAGAAGAATAAGCCAGTGCCTCACATATGGTAAGAATTTAATAAATTTAAACATTTAAAAAAATGTGTCAAGCACAATTCTTTGGACAGTTTGCTATATCTCCATAGTGGTGCTGTAGTGGGTTGTGTAAAAAATGACTGAAGGTCTGAGAACATAGGGAAAGGGTAGTGATAAAGTTAGAAGTCCTCTGGCAAGTAAGCTAATTTAGGGATGGAGGAGAAATAAGAATTTCTTTGGGAGCATGTTGAATGTTCAAGTGGAAATTTCTCCTGAAGAGTGATGATAATAATAATAATAATAATAATAATAATAATAAATTTTATCCTCAGAACAGGAGAATTTGTGAAAAACAAATATAAAATCTTCTGACTACTATGATAAGCAAGAGAGAGATTTCTTGGGTGAGTTGATTGATATAACATTATAGGCCTCTGGTACACGACATTTGTTCACTGGAGGGGAGGGGGTCTCTCAGCCTAGCCTGTGCCCTCTCATAGTCCGGGATGTCCACCTGCTGGTGGGGAGTGGGGCTAAGCCAGTAGTCGGACATCCCCCAAAAGGTCCTTAGCACTGCCTTGGAGGTGAGAGAGGCTCCTTCCACTGCCCCTGCTCTCACCAGCCATCAGCCAGGCTTCTGGGTGAGTGGTGCTCCCCCTGTAGAAGTGTACTGACCACCAAGGGGCAGCTCCTGTGTTCAGCATCTGCCCCCTGGTGATCAGTGCACATCATAGCAACTGGTTGTTCCACCGTTCGGTTGATTTGCATATTAGGGTTTTATTATATAAGATGATCTGTAGTGGAGTGATATCAATTGGGTAGTAATGGTTAACTAACTTAAAAAAGTAAACTGGTTATTATAAATGGTCTCTCGTAGGTGTCTTCAGAAGACATATTCTTCACAACTCCCATCCCTCAGTGTCATTCTCATATTCATGAACGAAGCTCTGTCCATTATTCAACGGGCCGTCACCAGTATCATCAACCGGACCCCTTCTCATTTGTTAAAGGAGATCATCTTGGTGGACGATTTTAGCTCAAATGGTGAGCTACTTGATCAAGAAATAGCAGTAAAATGACCATTTATCAGCCGTGGTAAGCTGGAAAGGGGTTTTAGCTTAGAGTTTAGGACATTTTGGCCTCCTCATATAGGAAGAAGAAAGGGTTCACTTATTGATCCCAATTTGCAATGGGCACATTAATCTTTACAAAGCCAAGACAGAGGATCATCATCTCAATTACACAGATGAGGAAACGAGGACACAGCAAACACATAGTGTGCCCAAATTGCGTGGCCAGTCAGTGGTGGAGCTGGGCCAGACTCAGGATTGTATGACTCCAAAGCCACCTGTGCCCTGTCCATGCTCCATGAGAGAGGCCTGAAGGAGTGAGCTGGGGTCCAAAGGTGGGTCTCAGACACCAAGGTTGAATTTAAGTCCTTCCTTATGGGAAAAAAAAAAAAAAATCTTTCTGGTAATTAAGCCCAGAGAAAAGATGAGATTTGAATGCTGAGACTATAGTGGCAATGTTCCCTCCCGACCCTGGTCTAACTCCCGCCCCCCTGCAAGGAGGACACATGGAGAACTGGGAGATAGTGGGTAGACATGGGGTTTCTGGGGTTTCAGAATCCAGGTTTCTCCTTTATGACCTTGAGCAACTTAACTTGTATTTGCTATTTTTTTTATCTGCAAACATGGATGTTGATGAGGATAACTATTTCATAGACTGTAACGAGAATTAAATGAGATAATAATGGTAGCTAATACTGTTCTAAGCACCTTACATATGTTAACTATTTTAACCATTATAAAAATCCTGAGGAAAAAGCCCCTTCTTTGCTTAGTTCATGAATACAAAAAACTAAGGCATAAACTTGGCCAACACAGCTGATAAATGATGGAATTGAGATTTGACCATAAACTTTAGCAGCTTGGAGCCCTAGCTCTAGCCACTGTTTTTATTGATATAATACATGGATTATGAACAGCATTTAGCACATAGTAACCTCTCAGCAAGTGTTAGCTCTTACTTTTATGAATTTGGGGCACTTAATAAAAAAAAAAAACTAGAATTACATCACAAAACTAGAGATTTGGGCTAACAATTAGGAAGAAATTTCAAATAGTAAGGACTGTAAAGTGGCAGCCCACGAAAGGAATAATTCTCCCTCTCTGAGGATCTTTAAGTACAAGACAGGTTATTTCAGCTTTAAATTAAGGGCTGTTTCACCAGAAGAAGAGACAAATGACCTTTGAAACCTTCGTTTTTTTATTTCCAGACACTAAAAATACTCCTCTTAATATTATTTTTTTAATATATATGTTTTTATTGATTTCAGAGAGGAAGTGGGAGAGAGAAAGAGAAAAATATCAATGATAAGAGAGAATCATTGATAAGCTGCCTCCTGCACACCCCCTACTGGGGATCAAGGCCACAACTTTGGCTTGTGCCCTTGACTGGAATTGAACTCTGGACCCTTCAGTCTGCAGGCCAACAATCTATCCACTGAGCCAAACCAGCTAGGTATCCTTTTCATGTTTTAAATAGCTTCTTTTCTTGTCCTTCCAATATAACTGCACAAAAAATGAGGCAGTGCAATTCCCAAGCAAAATTCCACCTGAAAAAAAAAAAAAAAAAAAAAAAAAAAAAAAAAAAAAAAAAGAAAGAAAGAAAGAAAAAAAGAAAGAAAGAAAGAAAGAAAAGAAAGGAGAATGGCTAACTTCATTCATTTCTGAAAATGGAGGTCAATATCAACTTACACACCTGATTTTCAGCAAGAAATAGTAGAATAATTAGAAAGATCTCTGTTCTGGACACCTGAGAAGACCTGGCTCCACTCCCTGGCTCTCTGAGAGGACCTGAAGTAAGTGAAGCCATCTTACCTCTATGGGACTCAGCTTCTTCATGGGGCAAATGCAGGGACTATGGTAAAGGGTCTCTGAAAGTATCTTTTTCTATGAAAAAAAAAAATTCAAAGATTCTATAAGTCTATATTCCATGAGGAGAGATAAGAAATAATTCAAGATTTTTTCATGTGGACCAATGAAATTAAAGATACAAAATTACAAACATAGGGTAGGCACATAACATAGTCCTTGATTGTGCCATTGTGCCCCCATCATATAATGCATCCCTCTCACTTGAGTTGAGAGTTCATTTATGTTTTCCATAGAGATAATTTTTTTGGATGGGCACAGAAGAGGGAATCGTTAGACGTTCTTTGTTGACACTGGGACAGGAATCAATTTCTCTCTCATTAACCATGGAAACATCAACTAGATTGGGCCTACACTGAACAGAACTCAAAAATCTGTTTTGCACTACAATGAGAAAAATAATTGGAAGTCTCTACCATGCATGACCCAAGATAAACTTACTCATGTGACTGGGAGGGTCAGTTACTCAGCTGCATTATTCCCCATTTCCTCATCTATAACACAGGGGAAATAACACTGACCTTCTGATAGGACCTTTCTGGGGATTAAATAACATTTGTAATGTCCTCAGAACAGGGCTTGCTCCCAATAAACGTTAACCAGTGTTGTACTCCTTGTTTATCTCAGTACCATTTGTAGTACTATTGAAATGCCATAGCCTGGTATTAGAGGAGTGTCCCCTTCCTTTATTTCCCTAGATGTAAACATTAATTTGCATCAGGTCAAGTGTTTCAGGTCAATGAAGCTAATCCAAGTTTTTCAGAAATTATATTAACATAGGAAGGGCCCTGTATTTTCTCCCCAGTTTTAGGCAAATTCCATAATCAACAACTATTTATTACATTTCTATCATGTGCCAGGCATTATGCATGGAAGAGAATGTCAATGATTTCAAGAAGTTCCCATTTTAATTGATAAGGCAAGACAAATCTATGAAAAGACAACTTGATGTATGAAAAGTAGTGTGTCAAACTGAGTGAGCTATCAGTGAGTGTAAGAAATCCCAGAGAAATAATTGGGATGACTTAGGGAGGCATCCTGGAGGAAAGGGCCTTGGGTTGGGACTTGAACGCTTAGTAGGATTTGAAAAGGCAAAGAAAACAAAGGAAGACTGAACGGCTCTGGTGGGGTTACATAGGGAGCAGAGAGAGAGAGGGAAAAAAGATGTGAGCAAAGATACAGAAGCCAGAAGCACCCTGAGTTGACCAGCTTGAAATAAATAATCTTTTGGAGGTTGAGGTAAGGGGGGCTATCAATGAGAGAGCAAGACTGAGAAGGAAACACAGGTTTCCTTTAGAAGATCCATTGAAGGATCTTTAATTCTTATGTTGGACTATAGGCATTATTTCTGAAAGGATGACTAGAAATCTACAACTCATAGGACTTTGGAATTGGAAGGGTACTGATATGTTATCCAGCCTTCTTTAAGTTTTGGAAATAGAATTCCCCAATGGGAAGTGACAGAATTAGATAGTGAGGGAGCCCAAATTATAGTCTAGATATCCAGAGTCTCCAGCAACCCCTTCTTTTATTCCTTCCCCCCACTATTTTGGTTCCAAAGGTTAATTCAATATCTTGTGCAAAATATGCCAGATAAATGAATTTTGATTCTCATCTTTCTCCTTTTCATCCTGGTTTATCTGGAACTAATGTAATTCTTAACTCTCTTTGCCACATGCAACCAATCTCATAGATAATTCTCCAAATATTTTTTGTGAGATATTTCAAATATCTCTTTAAAAAACAACCTCAGGCTCTAGCTGGTTTGGCTCAGCCTGTGGACTCAAAGGTCCCAGGTTCAATTCTGGACAAGGGCACATGCCCAAATTGCAGGCTTGATCCCTGGTGTTGGGTGTGCTGGAGGCAACTGATCTATGATTCTCTCTCATCATTGATGTTTCTGTCTCTCTCTCATTCTCCCTGACTCTCTGAGATCAATAAATATATGTTTGTTTGTTTTAAAAAATAAACTATTGCAATCTTGCTCTTGCTCTTTTTAATAGTTGCAACCCTTTACTGAGAGTCACAGCTTTTCTATTCACTTTTTCTTTCTTGAAGAAATTGTTCAAAAATGGCAGAAGTCATGATTCCATGTTCCATAGGATGCGTGAAGACAAAGGTGAATTACACAGCCTGCTTCTTTGTTTGTTTTTGTCCTGCTTCACCGCAAGCTTTTCCACAGATGCCATGGTGGCAGCAAAAGCAGAAAGAAAGAAAAAGTCCACCCCTTCTGATTACTTTCTAAAATTAATGACAGAGTGAATGTAGGGAATTTCAACCTTTTATTCTTTTCAATAGGAGCAAACAGCCTTCAGGTCCATTGGCTCTTTTTAACACTTTGAATTACTGATTCATCATCCTGTGCAATAGGGAAAGTTCTAAAATGGGTATGATTTTAGTACCATAGTCACGTAGGTATTGATTTCAGGTCCTGACCACTCCAGGACTCATAAATCTAATCTTCTCCTGAGAAAGGAACCAGAAATGATCTAATCTCTTGGCCATTGTGGGGTGTGAATAGGGAAGAAGAGATAGAGGGAAATCTTGATAAATCCAACCAATACTTCCGTAGTTCTTGAGGCAGCATGGCGTGGTGGTTAAATACAACACGGGCTCACACGCAGGTATGCCACTTACTTGATGTGTGATTTAAACAAGTTTCTTACCCTCTCTGTGCCTCATTTTTTTTCTGATTTTTTGAGAATTAAATGAATTAATATTATCAGGGAGTCATTTGGTTAGATATCTTAAACATTGCTTAGTGATTTGTATGTAAGTTATCTTTATACATATGAGAAAGTCAACTAGTAGGCTCACCCAAAGAACAAATGCACAGACAGACTTTATAAAAAAGAGGAGAAAGAGAGAAAGAAAACTATCAGCAATCTTGGAATAGTGAATCTTGTTTGCATAATTTGGGGGATATACTCATTAGCTGGAAGTTAGAAAAGGGATTAGTTGGGCATTCTGTCCCAGTTGGCACTTGAGTAGGCCAAATAGGAATAGCTAACACAAGACAAAACAATTTCAGTTGCTTTTGAAAAATCAAAAATTTATTCTTTAGAAAAATCTTGAGTGTTTAGTTGTGGAGATGTTGTGAGCTATCTC